AGCCCTGACGGCGGATGCTGCAGGGAGATCCTGGTGTTGCGCTCCAGCCTGGGCGACGGAGCAAACAGTCTCAAAAACAAAATAGCAAGAACAAATACAAGGGTCACCAGCTGTGGTACGTGGATAGCTCAAAAAAGAAAAAAGTGGCAGGGCGCAATGACTCACGAGGTCAGGAGATGGAGACCATCCTGACCAACACGGTGAAACTCCTTCTACTAAAAATACAAACATTAGCCGAGTGTGGTGGGGCGGGCCTGTAGTCCCAGCTAGTCGGGAAGCTGAGGCAGGACAATCGACTGAACCCGGGAAGCGGAGGCTGCAGTACTGTGTTCTTGCCACTGCACTCCAGCCAGGGTGACAGGCAGACTGTCTCAAAAAAAAAAAAAAGGCAGGGAGGCGCATAATGCCCCATGAACGAAAGCCTGCTTGGGAACAAGCTTTCCCAAGAGGCACTCAAAAGGCTCTCGCACCTAATACTCACCTTTACTCAAGGGTAACACAGCGATGAACGTCTTACAATTCCTACCGGGGAAATGAAACACAGGAACAAAGGATTAGAGATCTTGGCCATGAACCCCTCGTTGAGCCCGGTCTAGGAATGTTGGACCGAGGGGCAGTCAGAGCGCTGCGGTGATGGCGTCAGCGACACACTCAGAGTCACCTGGGGTCATCATCACTCCCCTCCTCTCCCCGGGCAACCGTCACCCCCATTTTACAGTCACTCGCACAACCCCACTCACAGTTGTGATGTCGCGATTAGTTAGCAGGGGCTGTGGCGCCGCTAGCCGAGTTCCAAGGAGAGGCACCAGAAACTCTACAGTGTGCAATGGTAGTTCACCCAGCTCGACTGGGGACCGCGCTCTCCTCCCTCGGCCAGGCCGCGACGTACCCGCCCGCTGGCTGCTGCGCAAAGGCAGGGTAGGCCATTGGGATCCCCTGCTCCCCCTCACTCAACAGCAGGGCCTGCAGCACGCGGTAGGAGAACATTACAGCTCTTCTACTAGCAACCCACGAGCCCACTCCGCAGAGAGAACTAAAATGGTGAGGCCGGGTCTATTTATGGCGGCGCCGGGTCGGGGGCCTGATGGGTATGGCTGTTTTCTTATCTGCCTGGCTAAACGCGCGGCATTTTCCCCATTGTTCATCCACATAGAACTACAACAAAGTGAAAGAAAGGCCAGGAAAGTATGTTTCACCCCCTTCTGGGCACACATTCGGAGATGCTTTCTGAATTTTGAAAAACAAAAAACAGGTACCTGTCTGGCCAGGCGGAAGAAAGTCCCTGGCGCCAGCAGGCCAGCGGCAGCCGGATGCTGTTCATAAGCCGCTTCGCAGGAGCCCAAGGTCGGTTAATGACCTTGGGACTCCGCTGTAGCGCGCTCGCAGCTGCGCCAGTTTAGGGTCCACCTGCCCCAGTTTAGGGTCCAGCTGCGCCAGCTTAGGGTCCAGCTGCCCCAGTTTAGGGTCCAGCTACCCTGACACTCCGCACGCCGTTCCCCCAGCGAAATCTGAATTCGTCTCCCAGCTCGATCTCGCAGACTGTCAGGCTCCTTAAGCTTCAATTAACCAAAACAAAACAAAAACCAAAAACACAAAAGCCAGGTGGGGCGTAATAGGTCACTCCTGTGATCTCAACACTTTGGACAGGCCTAGACAGAGGATCACTTGAGGTCCGGAGTTCGAGACCAGCCTGGGCAAATAGTGACACCCAACCCCCGTATCTATTTAAAAAATAAATAAATAAATAACAGCATTTTTGAAACTCATAAATCATTTCAAATCCCACCTTTCTGGACCCTTTCCTATCTCCCTCATTTATAAACGTGTATGATGTTTGGTGATGTGTGTTGTGTGTGTTGGTATCTTTTTCTTCTTTTTTTTTTTTTTTTGAGACGGAGTGTCGCCCAGACTGGAGTGCAGTGGCGCGATCTCGACTCACTGCAACCTCCGCTTCCTCGGTTGAAGCGATTTTCCTGCCTCAGTCTCCCAAGTAGCGGGGATTACAGGTGCACACCGCCATGCCTGGCTAATTTTTATGTTTTTAGTAGAGTCAGGATTTCGCCATGTAAGCTAGGCTGGTCTCGAACTCCTGACCTCAGGTTATCTGCCTGCCTAGGCCTCCACAAAATGCTGGGATTACAGGCGTGAGCCACCAAGCCCAGCCTGATTTAGAGTAGATATCTCTAGGCTCAGTTTTGGGGAGGAAGTGTTAGGGACACCTAGCTGATATGTCAGGAAGAACACCTTCAGGAAAGGCTTGTGTGGGAGGACAACCCATTACCGTAATCTTCTCAGCTTTATGCTGTGCAGCCTTTTTCTCCTTTCCTCATATATTTGCTATTTTTTAGAGTATTCATGAAAAAGGACAAAGAGGCTACTGTTTGTAAAATCTAGGGTAAAACCATCATTTAGAACTGGACACGAACTACTAAATGCCAACGATATTCAGGCAGGCAGTGAGGGAAAAAATCTTTGGCTCCTAAACCATCACTTGTTGCTCTCTAATTTGACCTTGGATGCAGCTCAAGTGACCACTTCCATATGCTAAATTGTCAAAAAGGTTCTAGAATACCTAATATAGAGGAGAATGGGATGAGGATTACAGAGGTGATACAAAGAACCTGACTCATCTTTCCTTTACGGCCATAGCCCCAAACTCTCATTCCTCCAGACCCTCACTTGGATAATTGCAGCTAGGGTGACCATAGCTGAAAATGTTAGTCTACCTCACATTTCTGCTCAAAACGATCTTAGAACTTTTGAAGTGAAGCTATTCAGACAAAATATTTTAAAAGGAGGCAACGAAAGCTAAATTAGTCTAAATAATTTGACTTGGTCACCCAAGTTGGGATTTGCAGAGCCATAGTCTGAACCTCCACTTCATTGTTGCTGTTTTGCCCATCCCGCAAGTTTTATTTTTTATTTATTTTATCTTTTTTTTTTGAGATGCAGTTTTGCTCTTGTTGCTCAGGCTGGACCGCAGTGGTGTGATCTCAGCTCACCGCAACCTCCACCAGGTTCAAGCAATTCTCCTGCCTCAGCCTCCGTAGTAGCTGGGATTACAGGGATTCGCCACCAAGCCCAGCTAATTTCTTTCTTTCTTTCTTTCTTTTTGACATGCAGTCTCACTCTTGCCCAGGCTGGAGTGCGCTGGCATGATCTTGGCTCACTGCAACCTCCACCTTCCGAGTTCAAGCGATTTTCCTGCCTCAGCCTCCCCAGTAGCTGGGATTATAGGCATCCACCACCATACCCAGCTAATTCTATTGTGGGTTTTTTTGGGTTTTTTTTTGAGACAGAGTCTCACTCTGTCGCCCAGGTTTCAGTGCAGTGGTGCAGTCTTGGCTCGCTGCAACCTCTGCCTCCTGGGTTCAAGGGATTCTCCTGCCTCAGCCTACCGAGTAGCTGGGACTATAGGCTCATGCCACCACACCTGGCTTTTTTTTTTTTTTTTTTTTAAGTAGAGACGGGGTTTTGCCATGTTGGCCAGGCTGGTCTTGAACTCCTGACCTCAGGTGATCCACCGGCCTCGGCCTCCCAAAGTGCTGGGATTACAGGCGTGAGCCACGACGCCCAGCCAGCTAATTCTATTGCTTTTTGTGGAGATGGGGTTTCACCATGTTGACCAGGCTGGTTTTGAACTCCAGACCTCAAGTGCTCCGCCCGCCTCAGCCTCCCTAAATTCTGGGATTATAGGCATGAGCCATCGCACCTGGCCCATTTTATTTGATTTTTAAATTGTTTTTGTAAATTGACAAACTTCAGTTGTATATATTAGGTACAAAATAGTCATTAACTATTAACACAATATGGAGTAATTAAATCAAGCTAATTAACATATCACCGCAAATACTTTTGTGATAAGAACATTTGAAATTTTGAAATATACACTATTAACTATTTTCACCATGCCATGCAATATATACCCCCCCAAAAAAATAAAAACAAAAACACAAAAACAGGCAGGGCACAGTGGCTCACGCCTATAATCCCAGCACTTGGGGAGGAATAGACAAGGGGATCGCTTGAGCTGAAGAGTTTGAGACCAACCTGGGCAACACAGCAAGACTTGGTCTCTACAAAATGCAAAAAATTGGCCGAGCATGGTGGCACATACCTGTAGACCCAGCTACTCAGGAGGTTAAGGTGGGAGGGTTCCTTGAACCCAGGAGTTTGAGACTACAGTGAGCTCTACTGTGCTCCAGCCTGGGTGACAGAGCAATATCCCGTTTCAAAAAAAAAAAAATACAACTCATTCCTCCTGTCTGAGGCTTTGTTCCCCTTGCACATCTCCCCATTCCCCCATCCCACAGCCCTTGCTAACCACCACTTCTTCTCTGCTTCTGAGTTCTACTGTTTAGATTCCACATATAAATGAATATGAGCCGAGGTCAGGAGATTGAAACCATCCTGCCTAACCCCATCCTGGGGTAAAACCCCGTCTCCACCAAAAATACAAAAAAATTAGCCAGGCGTGGTGACACACGCCTGTAGTCCCAGTTACTCAGGAGGCTGAGGCAGAAGAATCGCTTGAACCTGGGAGGCGGAAGTTACAGTGAGCCGAGATCGTGCCACTGCACTCCAGCCTGGGCGACAGAATGAGAGTGAGACTCCATCTCAAAAAAACAAACAAAAAAAAGTGACTATTTTTTTTGTGGACTCCGCTAAGTGCAATGGGGAGAGAAAACAACCATGATCCCCTCTCACCACCACCTCTCCCTCCTCGCTCCAGTTAACAACCCACCTCAACCACCCCTCCAACACCCTTTTGAAGCTGCCATCCCTACTTTTCCCTGAAACAAACCCCACTCTAATCAAGACGGGCACCTGCAATTCCTCTTAAGGCCCACAATAAAGCCCTAACAAAAATATGTGTAGCCCTAACTCCTACACGTGTAACTCTTCAGAAGTACTGTCCTTTTCAGACTATAAAGATAGATGGAATTCAGACACTATCCCTCCCCAAATATCCATTATCTTCACATATAAACAGACAAGAACAAGTTTAACATTTTATTTTTCATATTTAAGTAAACAAATTATAAAAACATACATTCCCAGCCTTTGTAGTGTTTTCCCAAAGCAAAAAAAAAAAAAAAAAAAGAAAGAAAGAACTCGTACAGAAGGTGGCAGTGTTGATTCATTTAAAGGGAACGAAACACCCTTACAGTATCAACATTAAATGCAAAGAATTACAATGAACATATTGGTTGTACTACAAAAATAATGAAGCCAGCTAATTACCATCAGGATACAACTTTACAAAGAAGTGAAGCAGCAAAGAGCTGAAGTAGAAATGACATAGGAAAACAGCAGCAAAGTCCTTGAGTCCAAACAGTCCACCTCAAAGACAAACATAATAAGGAACGAAGGTCCCTAATCTACCTCCTCAATGGTGGGGCCTGACCCAGACCCTCCCTTGGGACCCTGAGCCCCGAAGCCGCCAGGCCCAGGACCACCCGCACCCTGGTACAGTCCGCTGATGATGGGGTTACACACCTGCTCCAGCTCCTTCCTCTTGTGCTCAAACTCGTCCTTCTCGGCCAGGGTGTTGGCATCCAGCCACGAGATGACCTCTTGACACTTGTCCAGCACCTTCTTCTTGTCGGCCTCGCTGATCTTGCCCTTGAGCCCCTCATCCTCCACGGCGCTCTTCATGTTGAAGGCGTACGACTCCAGGGCGTTCTTGGCTGACACCCTCTCGCGCTGCACCTCGTCCTCCGCTTTGTACTTCTCTGCCTCCTGCACCATGCGCTCGATCTCCTCCTTGCTCAGGCGGCCCTTGTCGTTGGTGATGGTGATCTTGTTGGCCTTGCCGGTGCTCTTGTCCGTGGCCGTGACGTTCAGGATGCCGTTGGCATCGATGTCGAAGGTCACCTCGATCTGGGGCACGCCCCTGGGGGCCGGAGGGATGCCGCTCAGCTCGAAGCGCCCCAACAGATTGTTGTCCTTCGTCATGGCCCTCTCGCCCTCGTACACCTGGATCAGCACCCCGGGTTGGTTGTCCGAGTAGGTGGTGAAGATCTGTGTCTGCTTGGTGGGGATGGTGGAGTTGCGCTTGATCAGGGCAGTCATCACGCCTCCGGCCGTCTCCAGCCCCAGCGACAGCGGAGCCACGTCCAGCAGCAGCAGGTCCTGCACGTTCTCGGACTTGTCCCCCATCAGGATGGCCGCCTGCACCGCCGCCCCGTAGGCCACAGCCTCGTCGGGGTTGATGCTCTTGTTCAGGTCGCGCCCGTTGAAGAAGTCCTGCAGCAGCTTCTGCACCTTGGGGATGCGGGTAGAGCCCCCGACCAGGACCAGGTCGTGGATCTGGGCCTTGTCCAGCTTGGCGTCGCGCAGGGCCTTCTCCACGGGCTCCAGGGTGCTTCGGAACAGGTCCGAGCACAGCTCCTCGAACCTCGCCCTGGTGATGGACGTGTAGAAGTCGATGCCCTCAAACAGGGAGTCGATCTCCAGGCTGGCCTGGGTGCTGGACGACAGGGTCCTCTTGGCCCTCTCGCAGGCGGTGCGCAGCCGCCTCACGGCTCGCTTGTTCTGGCTGATGTCCTTCTTGTGTTTTCTCTTGAACTCCTCCACGAAGTGGTTCACCAGCCTGTTGTCAAAGTCCTCCCCACCCAGGTGGGTGTCCCCGGCCGTGGCTTTCACCTCGAAGATGCCGTCGTCGATCGTCAGGATGGACACGTCGAAGGTGCCCCCGCCCAGATCAAAGATGAGCACGTTGCGCTCCCCCTTGCCCGTTCTGTCCAGGCCGTAGGCGATGGCCGCCGCCGTGGGCTCGTTGATGATCCGCAGCACGTTGAGCCCCGCGATCACCCCCGCATCCTTGGTGGCCTGGCGCTGCGAGTCGTTGAAGTAGGCCGGCACGGTGATCACCGCGTTGGTCACCGGGTAGCCCAGGTACGCCTCGGCGATCTCCTTCATCTTGGTCAGCACCATGGACGAGATCTCCTCGGGGTAGAATGCCTTGGTCTCCCCCTTGTAGCTCACCTGCACCTTGGGCTTGTCTCCGTCGTTGATCACCTGGAAAGGCCAGTGCTTCATGTCCGACTGCACCACCGGGTCGCCGAACTTGCGGCCGATCAGCCGCTTGGCGTCAAACACGGTGTTCTGCGGGTTCAGCGCCACCTGGTTCTTGGCCGCATCCCCGATCAGCCGCTCGGTGTCTGTGAAAGCCACGTAGCTGGGGGTGGTGCGGTTGCCCTGGTCGTTGGCGATGATCTCCACCTTGCCGTGCTGGAACACCCCCACACAGGAGTAGGTGGTGCCCAGGTCGATGCCGATCGCCGCGGCTTTGGCCATGCCGGTGCCCTGCTGTCTGCTCCGCTCCGAGATTCGGGACTGGAAACGGCGGACCGGACCCGCGACAAGAGCTCAGTCCTCCGGAACGCCGGAAACTCAACGGCGCTGCTGCCTGCAGCCGCACAGGTTCGCTCTGGGAAAGCCTTGGGACCGAGGGAGTCACTCTCAGAAAAGGAAACCGATTGTCGCAGCAGCTCCTGAGGCTGGCCGTTTTCCGGACCCCTGGCCCCTCGGCGTTTATAAGTCGTCGCGGAGACCCGCCTTTTCCCTTCTGAGCCAATCACCGAGCTCGATGAGGCTGCCAGGTCGGGAATATTCCAGGGGTTTCGCCTCCCGTCCTGCCCCCTCCCCCCCCCGCCTTCCTTGGACCAATCAGAGGCCAGGGTGCCGCCCCCTGCTCAGAACTCTCCAGAGTCTTCTGGGATTCACTGGAGGGGACAGGAGCCCTGAGAGGAAGGGGGAGTGGCGGTGGGAAGGGTGTTGGTCTCCATGGCGATGCTGGCCGCTTGCCCTTCAGTAGGTAGTTGACAGGAAGGGCCAGCTCAGGGCTTGTAATTTTAGGGCGGTGCAAAATTGGTCGGATGACTTTGGAGACCACCAAAACCCGAAAGTTATCTTGCTTCTCGAAGGAGGCGGTGCATGGATGTGCCTAGGAGACTCTGATTGGACTGTGTCTGCGAAGGACGGGGCAGCTTTGGGTCCTTTCTCCAAGGCACCTAATGGCCTAGTCGGCCTGAGAAACGACCCGACTCTCCCGGATGTTTTTTCCATCGTAATGGGAAGAAGGAATGAGATAATACAATATAGTTTTTGACATAATCTTTAACCTACAAGGATGGGACATCTGGGAATAGGAGCCTTTATATTTTCACAAGGAAAGCAGTTGTGTAAACAGGCAGTTCTTAGCAAGACAGGGGCACCCACCCAAGGAGGAAGGGAGGCGCTGGTCGGGTAGTGGGAGGGGTGAGTCGGCCGCACCCCTGCCTCCACCCTCAGCCGCTCCCCTCTGCTGCAACCAGGAGTTAGAAAAAATTTTCCTTACTAGGCCGTCCTTAAGGCATTTCGGGTTCCTCCATTTCCCTCCCCATTCCTAGCTTGGGGTCCGGGACACCTCCTTTCTACTTTCTCCTCAATTCCTGTTTCACTCCAGGACAGTATGTAGAACTAGGACCTCACAGTCCCAAATAAAATTTTCTGTCTGTCCCTGAAATCCCTAGGCTGTCCACCGTTTTTAGGTCAAATGTAACAAGATGGTGAGCCTGGGAGGGAGGTGCGGGGGGTGTTTAGCCCTCTTTAACATCACATACTACAGCTGTTTGGCAGGTGGCCCTCTAAGCAAACTGTGGAGTGATGCTGGAAATCAGGAGGGGTTGGGACCCAGGTTCTAGCTCCTCTAAAACCTCAGGTTATGTGTCTTAAGTTGTTTGTTGTTTCCGTTTTGAGACAGTCTGGCTCTGTCCCCCAAGCTGGGGTGCAGTGGCGTGATCTTGGCTCACTGTAACCTCCACCTCCCGGGTTCAAGCGAATCTCCTACCTCAGCCTCTTGAGTAGCTAGGATTACAGGCGGGCGCCACCACGCCCGGCTAATTTTTGTATTTTTAGTAGAGACAGGGTTTCACCATGTTGGTCAGGCTGGTCTCGAACTCCTGACCTCCTGATCCACCCACCTCGGCCTCCCAAAGTGCTGGGATTACAGGCATGAGCCATCATTCCCAGACAGTTGTTTTTGTTTGTTTGTTTTGAGACTCTCACTCTATCGCCCAGGCTGGAGTGCAGTGGCGAGATCTCTGCTCACTGCACCCTCTGCCCCAGGGTTCAAATAGTTCTGCTGCCTCAGCCTCCCCAATAGCTGGAATTACAGGATGTGCCACCACTCCCGGCTAATTTTTGTATTTTTAATAGAGACGGGGTTTCGCTGTGTTGGCCAGGCTGAATGTCTTAAGTTTTTATCCTGGATTGCAACTTCCTGCAGATTCTCCTTCCTCCTGTTTGAAATACAATTGCATTTAGTAATTTACTTTCCCTTTTTTTTCCCCTTCATTCTTAGTGTGAATGCAAGACCCTTTTGTTAGGCATCTGAAAGGAAAATGTGAGGGGGTTGAAGCAATAGTACTGTGTTTACAACCTATCACAAAAAAAAAAAAAAAAGGAAAAGAAAAGAAAAAAAAATAGTCTCATTGCCATGCCGACATTCCTTGAGCACAAATGGAAAGAAGAAGTTGTTGATGAAGGGAATAATCCTGTTTTTAAACACTTTGCTCAATTGGCATTTTTCATATGCACACCACACACACACACACACACCTGTCCACTATCAAAACACCTCTTCCGGGAATTCAAGGGTATTCATTTGTTTATAATTCACTGATCTAAACTGATGTTGCAAATAAATTGCTTTAACAATCTGTGTGTGTCTGTATGTGCAGGTCGGTGATAACTTTCACATTCAGCGTTAGCTCCCTAATGAATCACCTCTCTAAACTAGTCAAACCGGTCAAACTTCAGGAATTTTCCCAAACATCTCTCTATGAAATGTCTGGCTGGAGATTCTCCCAAACTTTCATCTTAGCTGCACAGTGTAGCAACACTTCCAGAGACCCTTAACCTCACCCCTCCCTCTGGAAGCTTCCTCACCATCAACTGCTACTACTGGCAGGTCTGGATTCATTCCTTCCCTCCTTCCAAATCTACAATTTAAAATAGTTCTCCGAGGCCAGGCACGGTGGCTCATACATGTAATCCTAGCACTTTGGGAGGCCGAAGCGGGCAGATCACCTGAGGTCAGAAGTTTGAGACCAGCCTGACCAACACGGAGAAACCCCATCTCTACTAAAAATACAAAAAAAAAAAAAAAATTAGCTGGGCATGTTGGCGCATGCCTGTAATCCCAGCTACTTGGGAGGCTGAGGCAGGAGAATCACTTGAACCCAGGAGGCAAAGGTTGCAGTGAGCTGAGATCACGCCATTGCACTCTACCCTGGGCAACAAAAGTGAAACGCCTTCTCAAAAATAAAATACTTATCTGATTCTGTTGAGAAACATAAAAAGTGGGGGGTGGGTGGTAAGAGGGGGAGAAAAAAACCCTCTCTATTGGCATGAAGCAAAGGGCATCACTGTCTCAAGTGCCTGGCAAGTAGATGTGGTGTTGGGGCCCCAAATCTTGGATGCTCTCCGGATAGCAGAAAAATCCAATAGAAATGCTGTTTTTCTTGAATCAGTCACACTAGTCAGATTCTACAGTGCTATAGTTGACCTAGCTTTTAAGTGAAGCCTGTATGGACTAGACTGGAAACCCACACATCCATATTCCTTGTCCATTTCCTGACAAGGAGGAGGTCACTATTTGGAAGTTTCTTTTTTTTTTTTTATTTTTTTGAGACAGAGTCTTGCTCTGATTGCGTGCGAAGGGGAGGGGTAGAGTGCAATGGCACGAGTCTTGCGCTCTCACTGCAACCTCCAACTTTCCGCAGGTTCCAAAGAGCGATTAGCGTGCCTCAGGTCTCGGTTGGCTGAGAGATTAAAGCTGCACACGCACCGCATGCCTGGCTAATTTTTGTATTTTCAGTAGAGACGGGGGTTTTGTCATGTTGGCCAGGTGGGTCTCCAAACCTCCTAAACCTCAGTGATTCGCGCCGGTCTATGGGCCGCCCAAAGTGCGGGGATTACAGGCGCTGAGGCCCGCGCCGGCGCTCTGTTAGTTACTTTTAGGACTGTGCTGCTTCCAAGGCAGCATCCAGTCACAAGATTTATTGGCTGTCTAAGGTGAATATATAAAACCCAGGAGATTTTTCAAAACTTTAAGTGATTAATTCAGAATTAGGTTTTTACTGGGATTCTGTGTTTCGGAAGGATCAGAGCTCAGATTCGCCCACTGAAAGCTGGGTCAGATGGGTTTCAAAAGGAAAAGAACTGAAGGAGCAGGCCAAGAACATACTGCTACAGCAGGTGGGTTAAGAGAGCATTGTCCTTCAGGCGCTGACTCTGCAGGGGTGTTTTCCTTCTTCTCCCTTCGCTTTTTTTAGTTGCCATCAAACCAGTAGGTTGTTCAATTTTTGTTCGTTTTAAAAGATGGTATAGAGCGGGAGCGATGGCTCACGCAGCACTTTGGGAGGCCGAGGTGGAGTGGATCACCTGAGGTCGGAGTTCGAGACCAGCCTGGCTAACATCGGCAAAACCCCGTCTCTATAAAAACACAAAAAATTAGACCGGACGTGGTGGCACACACCTGTAATCCCAGCTACTCAGGAGCTGAGGCAGGATAATCACTTGAACCCAGGAGGTGGAGGTTGCAGTGAGCTGAGATCCACTGCACTTCCAGTACTCGGGTGACAGAGCAAGATCTGTCTCAAAAAATATATATAAAATTAAAAAAAAATAAGATGGTATAATTTTAAGGTTCATCCAGACAAAAGCAAAAGAGTTAATTATATGAAATCTAGCCGTAGGCATTCTATAACTGAATGAATGACATACGCTTCAATGACAAAGAGAACCCTGGCCATTTCTAGCAGCATGAAAAGAAAAAATCTGGGAAGGGAAAATCCTGGATTTGCATCTGCGCTCTACTTCTTTGGTGAGGCTGTTTTTCTTTTCAACAAGGAAGTACTTATAAGTTGACTAAATAACACAAGTTTCGACGTGTTCATCTCTAAAACAGCATTAACAATATCTGGACTGGGTGTGGTGGCTCACGTTGGTAATCCCAGTGCTTTAGGAAGCCAGGGCAGGCACTTGAACTCAGAAGTCCAAGATCAGTCTGGGCAACATAGTGGGTGGGACACCATGTCTAACCAAAAACTTTAAAAGTTAGCTGGGCGTGGTGGCAGGTGCCTGTAGTCCCAGCTACTTGGGAGGCTGAGGTGGGAGGATCGTTTGACCACAAGAGGTCAAGGCTGCAGTGAGCTATGATCACACCACCGCACTCCAGCCTGGGAGACAGAGATCCTCTCTGAAATTTAAAAATAAAAATAAAAATTCCCTACATGATCAAAGAAAATATTATATTCTCCCTCCTTTTATTGGGGATCCCATACTCTCAGATGTGACTCCTAGTCATTCTTATTTAGGTGTTTAAAAGTTGGGGACCATTAGTAGGACTACAGCTGCTTTCAGCTTAATGTAAAAACTGTCCTAAGATCTGCAGGCACAGGCCATTCAGTCAAACCTTTTCATTTTCAAAGACAGCACCAAGGATCAAAGAAGTTCAGTGGCTTGATCTGGTTACCCAGACGACAGGTTACAAAACTGGTGATTGGACCCACACGTTCTCACACTCATTTTGTACTCCTTCCCACACTGGCTTATCAACCTAACTGGGTTTTGTTTGCTTTTAATTTTGTGGTTAGACCTAATTGTTGTATTATCTAAAAAGGAAAACAAATGAACACAGTGCTGGGCTCTGCGAGCATTAAGGGCACCTCAGGTTTGTGATCAGCCAGGGACTCCCTTCCTGGCTGCTGCTCCTCTCTTCGGACTCACAACCATGGCTCCTACAAGCTCTTGCCTTCCCCACCTTCCAGCCCTCCCAGCCCTGCTTCTCCTTTCTGATAGAACAGATTGCTCAGGCAGAAAGAGGGGAAAGGAGGGGGGAGCCCTGTTACTATGGCAAAGTTGGCATACAGTTCACAGAATCTTCTGGACGTTAAATATAGAGTCCTGACTAACCTTGATGTTTTAGGACCGCTTGGCGAGGGGAGAGAGAGAGAGACTTGGGTGACGCAGTTTGTTGGGCAGTGTCCCTAAGAATGACACAGCAGTTCTCGCCTTGAAGGTCAGAAAACTCGAGAAACTTCGGGCAGAGCCAACCACGGGGGAAAGAGCCTCAGCCAAACCTGAGGAAAGGCGGGGGAGCGCGGTGGGGAGGAAGAAAAGGCTGGGCCGCTGGGGCCTGAGGGCGGGGCTGGCTTCGGGGCTGCCTGTCCGACTCCTGCGTTTTCCGATGTGTTTTTTTTCCAAAAAGGGATTAAAGGAGGAAAGAAAGAAGGACCTTTCGAGTTTCTCTCAACTAGGTAACTTACGAGACGAAAATATTGGAGAGTTTTGTAACTTTCATACAACTAAATCAGATGCATTGGGTGGCCAGAGGCGAGAAGAGAAGGTCCCCACCGCCCGCGGCCAGCGCGCACCCGTCTGCGCGGGGACGCGCGACTGATGGGAAAGGAGTGGGGGACGGAGTCGGTTGGCTTTTGCCTACCGCCAGCTCAGCGCCCCGTTCTAGTCCCTCGCCCCGTGAGGCATCAAGAGAATAAGAAAATTAGACCCTCAGGAGTGATTCTCGGTTGCTGGGCTCCTCCGTAGTCCGAACCTGTGAACCTGCTCCAGCCCTTCTCCGGTGCCCTCCCTTCTAATTTTTTTTCAACTTTTTTTTCAGACAGGGTCTCCCAGGCTGGAGTGCAGTGGTGCAATCACGGCTCACTGCAGCCTCCATCTCCCGGGCTCAAGCGATCCTCCCTCCTCAGCCTCCTGGGTAGCTTGTTCTCCAGGTCCGCACCACCACGCCCTGCTCCTTTTTCTTCTCCAATTATTGATCGGGCTGGACATGGGCCAGCGGGGTGGGGCGGGTTTAACCCGGTGTCTGGAATGCTCCGCTGCCCTACCCCTCAAACATCCCTTTAAATAGTGGTGCTAGGAAAGGACAAGGGCCCGGTGGGCTTACTCCCTCTGGCTGAACTGCACCTGATAGATACCTCAGGGACGTTTCCCAAGGGGACGGATTTAGATCAGTTAGCGGGAGGAATGGTAGCTGTCACAATTTTTTATATTCACGTAAGGATCGCCCCCTCAGAAATCGCCAATATTGCCCTCCCCCGAAATAACCTCATTTCCTCTTTTAGCCTAAAGCCGTATTATTTCTGCCCACTTCTCTCACATCTATAAAATACTGTAGTTAATTTTTTGTTTTGGTACCTTTTTCGTCTTTTGAGGATGACAAGAACTCTAAAGGCCAGGAGTAACAATAAGTGTATATGTTACAAAGTAAAATCCTGGGTTCAAAAGCCATATAAAATCAAATTTATTATCATAGCCTGCTGCCTTCTGAGGCCTGGTATAGGAAGGCAGGAGGTGATTGGAATCGAGGGGATATCTGTATTAGTTTTTCCACACCTGCAGTTATTTTTCCTGTTGCACTTTTCCTCCCTCAAAGTTCCTCTGCTACTCAAAACATCACTTCGTTTATGGATGGCGCTGCATTCTCTTTCCTAATTCCACAGCTTCCTCAACCTCTTTTCTTGAGGTTACAAAGTGAATATTTCAAGGTACAGTACTCTGTGCTAGGGTATGCAGGCAAGCAATAATTTGTATATATTTCTTGTTAAAACATCTACTAATAAGCTTGATTGATAGGGCCATAGGAACTCTGTTATTGCCTCCATTCAATGTTATGTCTGATGATTTCTCTACTGTTTCCACAAAGGCATTTGGTAGGTCCTTCTCAATCTCCACCCTTTTCCAACTACCCTTTTCCCCACCCATGCCACAGTAGTGGTAGTTGCTCCTGGTTTAGAGTCACTATAGGGTCTGCAGATCAGAGTCACAAATGCTACTGCAGCTCTGAAGGGGAGAGGAGGTCCTATAGCAAAAGCATATTCCCATATTGATTGATTTACATTGTGGCCAAAGCCCACAGTACTACAGTTTAACTACCATAAGAGATAAGTGTTCCTCTATAGGCTGGCCTGGAAACCTAAGCATTTCATAGTTATTTTCTATTTTCAAACTTCCAAAGCAAGGTCTACCTGTATGTGTCATTTCCCATAACACTGGATTTTCTTCATAACAAGTATTTAGTGAATGGTTTGATGGGCTTTGAGGTACACATAAGCTCATAAAGTGCTTTAATGTAAATATTGATACAATTGATTTTTTTCTTTTCTTTTTCTTTTTTTTTTTTTTTTTTTTTTACAGAGACAAGGTCTCACTCTGTTGCTCAGGCTGGAGTACAGTGGTGCAGTCATGGCTTATTGCAGCCTTGACCTTTACAATGTTATGCTATCCTCAACTCTATCTGGTTCCAAAACATTTTCATTGCCCTTAGATACTATTTATTTATTTTTTCATTGAGACGGAGTTTCACTCATTGTCCAGGCTGGAGTGCAATAGCACGATCTTGGCTCACTGCAACATCTGCCTCCTGGGTTCAAGCCATTCTCCTGCCTCAGCCTCCCAAGTTGCTGGGATTATAGGTGCCCGCCACCACGCCCAGCTACTTTTTTGTATTTTTAGTAGAAACGGGGTTTCACCCTGTTGGCCAGGCTGGCTCAAACTCTTGACCTGAGATGATCCACCCGCCTCGGCCTCCCAAAGTGCTGGGATTACGGGCATGAGCCACTGCGCCCGGCTGACACAATTTATTTTTATTTTTTGACATGAAGTTTCACTCTGTCATCCAGACTGGAGTGCAGTGGCGCAATCTCGGCTCACTGAAACCTCTGCCTTCTGAGTTCAAGCGATTCACCTGCCTCAGCCTCCCAAATAGTTGGGATTCCAGGTGCCCACCATCGTGCCTAATTTTTTACTTTTAGTGGAGCAGGAGCAGGGGGCGGGGGGAGGGGGGGATCCTCACCATGTTGGCCAGGCTGGTCTCGAACTCCTGACCTCAGGTGATCTGCCTGCCTCGGTCTCCCAAAGTGATGGGATTACAGGCGTGAGCCACCATACCCGGCCAGATACAATTTATTTTTAAAGGGGCTCACTCCGGGAGCTTTAAAGATTGTAGTGGGCGTTTTCCAACAAGGAGGGAATTACTTCTGGGATGCTAGCAGCTGGGGCATGAAGCATCTCCAAGGGAAAGTGCATGGGAGTGAAGTCTGTATGTAGGTCTTCCTGGCTTGGGTGCTCACTGGGGTACTTAAATTGTAGGTGATAACTGCTAAGAATGTGGCATTTCTATTTCAGTATGCTTTCAGTCATAAGAGAGGCAACAAGCCAAACCCTTCCATTTTAAAAGATGACAACTAAAGCACATGTGCATAACTCAGCAAGCCAGTGCATGTACCCCTATTTTTTCACTTTGAAATGTAGGACACTTCTTCCATTCCGTGTTGAATCTAGATTAAATATCAAGTCCATAAGCTTATTAGGTGTACCTACAGGAGGTAGGAGCACTGGCCTCCCATCTAACTGCATCCTCTCTGACCACTTTTGCAGAAACATCCCCCACCCCACCCCACCCCACCCCACCTCTTTTGAGACCAATCTTAAACACCAATTTGAGGCTACCCTCCCAGGTGTTAAACTTTTTCAGTACCCTCAGGCTAAACACCCAGTTAGCATCAACAAGCTTTACTATTTTTTTTTTAACTTTCTCTTTTTTGTGTGTGTGTAAGACAGTCTCGCTGTGACGCCCAGGCTAGAGTGCAATGGCGTGATCTCGGCTCACTGCTACCACTGCTTCCTGGGTTCAAGCAATTCTCCTGCCTCAGCTTCCCTGGGACAACAGGCACGCACCACCACGCCCGGCTAATTTTTGTGTTTTTAGTAGAGACAGGGTTTCACCACATTGGCCAGGTTGGTCTGGAACTCCTGACCTCAAGTGATCCACCCACCTCGGCCTCCCAAAGTGCTGGGATTACAGGCTTGAGCCACCACGCCCGGCCAGAATTAAGCAGCTTTACTGGAGCATACCATTTGTCTAACACAAATGGATCACATTACAATAGCCACACTTCTCTAATATCTGCCCTTACTGGAGACAAAAATGCCATTCCATTTTAGACGCTATGAGAAAGACAACCTATGCAGACCCTACTGACCCCCAAATAAAAGAAAAAAAGGCATCACTTGAATTTTAAAGTTTATTTACTTTGAAGTAACTAACTTAAAAAATGGCCTGAGTTCAGTGTATTACAAAGAAGAAATGGTCATAAGATGGCAGTATAAATTCATCTCTACACGTAGAGACCGGAAAAAAAGCAAGTTCAGTATTTCACCAAAAAAGTTACATTCAGTACTTCACCAAAAAACTTGAACATTGCAAACACAGGAAACTAAGACATGACAAACAGAAATATTAGGAAATACAAAGTCTTGAAGCGCCAAAACAAACACAGTAATCTTGGGAAGGCTCCTAATCTACCTCCTCAATGGTGGGGCCTGACCCAGACCCTCCCTTGGGACCCTGAGCCCCGAAGCCGCCAGGCCCAGGACCACCCGCACCCTGG